TTTGGCTCCAGAGCTTGGGCTCTGTGTTCACATCGTGAAGTTCTCTCTCTTTCCTTAGAATACTCAGCATCAGTGTATCACAGGCAACTGAGACTCCTGAATCGAGTGAAGGAATCAGTGTTCACGAATGTGTTAATTATTAGTAAAATTTAATTTATTTCCCTTGATAGCTAAAGATAAAAAAATAAATGGAAGTTTGATGTTGTCTCGGTTCCCCTCCCCAGGGGGGTTGGAGTCCACTCATCTGAAACAGTAATTCTCACCCACAGGAAGGTAGTGGGGGGACAGCCTGCTTCACTGGGGACAGGCCAGTCTCTGAGATACAAAAGATGGGCGTCCCCATTAGGGGAAATTTGCAAAGACACAAGGATTCGCAAAGGGAGTGTGTGTGTCTATCACGATCTCTAGGAGAGGCAAGAGATTTTCATGTTTAATTACAGGAGAGCCTGGTATTAAAAAGACTGAAAAACAGTTTCTATAGACGGATAGAGATTGAGGACTACAGGTCTCAGCTTTACTCTGTACAAATGCTCTCCTTCCACGAAGCTACTGGCAAATGCTGTGTGGTTGATTCCTGGAAGTCAGCTGGGCTCTGCTGCCAGGCATAAAGAGACCCATCGCTTTTTCAAACAGTTAAGCTGAGAATAAGTCTTGTAATTTGTATTCTGTACATACATCAGTCATTGCAGTTCCCTACCCCACCACAGTTCCCAAATCTTCTACCTACCCTCTATTCTTTTTTTTTTCATCTAAATTAAAAATTGCGAAAGGTTTCGAGGAAGCCAGGGACACCGTGACAAACAGCACACAGGGCAGGAAATGGCCCTTGTTTTTCCGTCTCTCAGTCACCAAAATGGATGTTATAAAAAGTAATTTAAATTACCGGTCCTGTTTATGAGATATGAGAAATGCTCATATGTGACACATACCACATGGAGATACTTCAGTGTATTGAAGCGACACATCCCTCGCTTTTCTAATTCAGTGCCCACCCTCTCAAAGGATGCCTGAGTGATTCGCTCCAGAAAACACAGGCACGTGCATTTTAATCACGCTTATTATGTATTTCAGAAGAACCATGTCAATAAGTTTTTTACCAGCAAATATTGCAACCTACGTTGTAGACCAGTCATCCTCGTTACACTTTAAAAGGAAGAGAAGTGAAACCACTTACAGGAATTTCTCCTGTTACGATCTTGCCGCTCAAGCATGGAAAACAAGAATCCGCCTCCCATTCTCACTTGTACACAGGGTCATTCTTCCATGACTCACCAGAAACTTGTCTTAGTTTTTGGAGGAGTACGTTTAAAAAGATGAAACTGAATTTTGGACTCAATGACAAGATTATTTTTGATTAAGTAAAAGTTAACCACAAGCAAATAAAACTTAAAACCTACCAAATACTTCTTGGGTTTTCTTCCAGATAAAAGTATGTTTCTTATATGGTGTGTTAATATCGCAGTGGCTTCCAACTGGAAGTGTGCCATTCAGGTGTCCTCAAACTACGGTCCGCAGGCCACATACAGCCCACCTAGGACATTTATCTGGGCCGCTGGGTGTTTTTGCCACCGCTGCCTGTCCTGCTTAGCAGCCAACTCATCCCAGGGCCCACAGTCCCGCCCTCCAACGGTCTGAGGGACAGTGAACTGGCCCCCTGTTTGAAAAGTTTGAGGACCCCTGTGAGATCATCTTAAGTGTGCTGAAAAAAAATTTAAAATTAATTAATTAAATTATTTTTGAAAGAAATTCAAAGCATAGTATGTTTGTTTGTTTGTTTGTTTGTTTTTTGCAGTTTTTGGCTGGCGCTGGGTTTGAACCCGCCACCTCCAGCATATGGGGCTGGCGCCCTACTCCTTTGAGCCACCCCTTTTTCCTCTTTTTTGTATCAACGTAATTTACGAGGGCTGGGAGAGTTTAGCTATAGATTCAAGTGTGCCCTGAGATTTAAAAAAAAAAAAAAAAGGTTGAAAAATGCTGTTATATAGTGTATATTGTTTTAAGATTTTATATTGGAGGAGACAGGTATTGGGGACATGTTGGTCAAAGGATACAAAGACTCAGGTGGAATGAGTCCAAGAGCTCTAATGTACAACATGGTCAATAGTTCTAGTTAATAATAATGTTTTGTATTCTTGGAAATAGCTAGGAGAGCAGATTTTAAGTGTTTGCACCACAAAAAATGTATGTGAGATAATGCATATGTTAATTAGCTCCAATTAGCAGCCTCCCCATGATATATTTTAAAACATGTTGTATAAGATCTGACAATTAAGTTCACAAACTCATCTTAGACAAAGTGCTACCTGCCTTGTTGCTGACTATCACTACAGTCACCTTCGAGATTCTCTCCTTGGAAAGCTTTACCAAAATGCCAGTGCCTAGTGTACCCTTCAAAGTAATTTTGAAACTCTTTTTCTGAAATGGCCATGAAAGCTGTTGTTATATCACCTTTGATGTCCTGAATGTCATCCAGATGTCTTCCTTTCAATATTTTCTTTGTATTCAGGTAAAAAAAAAAGTCATGGCTCAGCGCCTATAGTCCAGTGGTTAGGGCGCCAGCCACATACACTGGAGCTGGTGAGTTTGAACCCAGCCCAGGCCTGCTAAACAACAATGACAACTACAACAAAAAAAATAGCCAGGTGTTGTGGCAGGCACCTGTAGTCCCAGCTGCTTGGGAGGCTGAGGCGAGAGAATCACTGAAGCCCAGGAGTTTGAGGTTGCTGTGAACTATGACACCATGGCACTCTACCGAGGGCAACATAATAAGACTCTATTCTCAAAAAAAAAAAAAAAAAAAGGAAGAAAAAGATGTTGTTCAGCGGCAGATCAGGTGAGTAGGAAGGGTGTCTCAATACAGTTATTTGTTTACTAACTAAAAACTCCTTCATAGACAGTGCTGGTTGAGCTGGTGCATTGTTGTGATGTGAGAGCCATGAGTTGTTGGCCAAGATTTTCAGTTAAGATTTTCCTGTTTCTCTATTAATGTTTACTTGGTCTGCTATGCTTCTCAGTGAGCTAATGCTTTCAATACATAATTTGATAAATTTTTACTGGCCACCGCCCTGACCTCTCTTCATCAGTGGTGCTTTCTCTTCCCTCATAAGAACATTTAATTCATTGATACACTGCCGTTTTCTTCATGGCATTACCCCTATGACCTTGGACTAACATGTTCCTTATTTCACTTCCATTCTCGCCAAGTTTAATGAGACATTTACAGATGTTTGTTCCTTGCTCTAATTCAAGCTCGGACGTTCCCAGGATGGTACACAAAAACACACAGCAATAATGAACATCACTCAGCAAGACGCTGCTGTATATGGCCACAAACCCTGCCGGCGGACATTGACACACTGCTATGAAACTTTACTGGGCTGTTTGTACAGTGCTGCCAACATAACCACGTGGCTGTGTGTGGTGGCAGGTTTGCAAAATTGTCGGACCCCGGACATGATTAATATGCACCATTTTTATTTGTCAATTACAAGAAATAAATACAATTTTTTAGAAACAATAGATGTCATCTTCTCAAAGAAGTCTTCCCTGAGCCCAGAGGTGGAGTAAGTGCCCACAGCAGTGATACCTAGCGTCTCGTGCTTATTTCTATAAGAGTACTTATCACAGTCTGTGGTAATCGTGGGTTAGTTGTCTGTCTTGCCCTAAAATACAATCTCTCTCTGCAGATATGCATTCATCTATTTTACTCTCCCTACTTAGCATAATGTTTGCAGGGTCCATGGTGGGAATTCAGCAAGTACCTGTTAGGTTACATTAAATCTCAAAATTTCATAAGACTGCTGATTAATATAGCAGTATATATAATTAAGCATAGTATGTAATTATTATCGTGTATATTAATTAAGTATAGATACTTAATTATCTGAAATAAATCCCTTCTGTTATGGACTAACCACTCCACTCATTCCCATTTCCCGTCACGGTGGTTTTCAAAGTCATCCCCAGATCAGCAAAATTAGCATCACCTGGGAAGTAGGTAGAATGACTATTTTCATTCTCGACCTGCTCGATTAGAAACTCTGGTGGTAGAGCCAGCAGTCTGTGGCTTAACAAGCCTGTCAGGTGTTTCTAATGGATGGTAAACGCTAAGAACCGTTTCCCTCTATAATTTTACTATCTAAACAGGTGTAATATGTTACATTCAAAGGGGGATAACGTCCTAAACGTATGCATTGATGGAATCTCTAGCTGAGTTTACAAGCTTGCATGATGCCAAACAGACCCATTCTAGGCTGCCTGAGGATTGCTGAAGATACATAAAGCCTACCTTGGACATTAGGCTTAATTTTACACGTGCACAGGTTGTCAAGAAAGTAAGAGGCTGTTATCATTTTAAGAGAATAACCAAGGCCAGGCACTACGGCTCACACCTGTAATCCTAGCACTCTGGGAGGGTCAGGCAGACGGATGGCTTCAGTTCAGGAGTTCGACTGAGCAAGAACAAGATTCCATCTACCAAAAACAGAAAAATTAGTCGGGCCTTGTGGCACAGGCCTGTCGCTCCAGCTGCTCAGGAGGCTGAGCCAAGAGGATGTATTGATTGAGACCAAGAGTTTGAGGTTGCTGTGAGGTATGACACCATGGCATTTTACCCAGGGCAACAGAGTGAGACTTTGTTTCAGAAAAAAAAAGAAGAAGAAGAAGAAAAGGTAGGCTGGGTGCAGTGGGTCATGCCTGTAATCCTAGCACTCTGGGAGGCCGAGGCGGGTGGAGTGCCCTGAGCTTACAGTTTTGAGACCAGCCTGAACAAGAGTGAGACCTCGTCTCTAAAAATAGCTGGGCACTGTGGAGGGTGCCTGTAGTCCCAGCTACTTGGGAAGCTGAGGCAAGAAAATCTCTGGAGCCCAAGAGTTGGAGGTTGCTGTGAGCTATGACATTACAGTACTCTACAGAGGGTGACAAAGTGAGACTCTGTCTCAAAAAAAAAAGAAAAAACCAACACAAAAAACAAACAAAAAGGACAACTAAATAGACTTCAGACTTTCAAACTGTGTTCCTTGGATGCCTAGAATTCCTCACTACCTCTGCGGGTGCTGCTGCAGACGTATAGACGGGGCGGTGGCCTTCCCACTCTCCACTGCTAATACAGCAGCTTCTGTTCGCTTCTGTCTCCTACATCAGGGTTCTCCGTAGAATTCCCTGTGAAAAAAGGATTCAAGATCTGAAGCCAAAAAAATCTTCAAAAGCACTACCATGTGTCTTGAATACATGGAAAAACTTGCTCAACCATTAAAAGGTTTCTAAAGTAATTCCACCGCCTTTCAAGCCAGTCAACTGTGAGGTGAGTCAGAGTGATCTGTTCTGAACTAAACAGTACCCATTGCGGGAAGCAGGACTGGTTTTTTATGTACATTATGTCAAGTGTCTTCACAACTGCCAGGTGACATAGGCGCTGTGACTTGTATTTGGCAGATGAGCGAATTGAAGCACAGAGGTTCAGTCACTGGCTGGAGGATGGCAGAATTCGTACAGCGTGGAGCCAGATTCCATCCTACTCAGTCTGGCTCCGTAAGCTACGCATGCCTAAGGCAATGCGTTAAGTTGCTTTCCAATTAAAGTGCTGGGGTTTCCAAAATGATATCTATTTTTTCCAAAAAGTTTTACATATATATACACATACACACATTAGAATGCATTCCAAAAATCCCTATAATATCACCTTCATTGACTGTCCTTCTGGGGGGTGGGGCAGTGGCATTGTAGCCAGAATGTTGAGAATTGTCCTGACACACAGCCCAGATCACAGAGTCACCATTACAGATGGGGGAGTTAACTGTTCTGATGATTGTAAATGATCACAGCATGTGACTTCCACATTCGAGAGATGTCTGTCAAAATAGGCACGGGCCCTTGACAGTGTTTCACACATAAGGGAATCATTCGTCAAACATGTCATAGCAGCAAAAAAGGCTGAGAACCGACTGTGACTTTGAGGCTGTACGTAGCAGTTGTGTCGAATTGAATTATCAGCCAGCCAGAGGGCAGAGTGACCCAATCCGACTCGTTACCATTTTAAATGTCTGAAACTAGGAATCTTAAAAAAGAGATAACAGTATAGAATAGGTTTTGTTGTGTGAATGGCAAAGTTGTTTGTTAGACTGAGAAAATGACATGAAGGCTGTGTTGATCAGTTTGATGGAAGTATTTCAGATTGCATGTGAAAACCCCACACTGTACCCCAGAAGTGCATTAATGTACATAG